CCCGGTCATCTTATACGCCGGAAAATACGGTAACTGACCCTGCATTGGTTCAGATCACTTAGCAGATCGGAGCTAATATCTTTACTAGTGATTTTCAGTTATTGTAAGTAATGTAATTGGGGCTGCATCTACACTGCAGAAATAATGCCGTTTGACATCACTTGGCTCAATATTATGAATTCTGGGGTTTTTAGTTTGGTGAGATATTGACCTTCTCTGTTAGAGAGCTCTGGTGCCACAACAAACTATAAATCCTAAGATTCCATAGGAGTGGTGTCAAAATTCGCTAATTCTGCGTTTTATCAGCAGCAGCCTGGGTAGAGGAACATTTAAAAAAAGAAAACAGAAAAAATCTCAAATCCTTGAGCATGATATGGAGGAATTTCTTCTTGTCTCTTGAAAAAAACTTATGATTACTTTAATATTATGGTTTTATAGGAGTTGTATGACTTATTAAGATGAATTAGTGAATCACTAAATTACATTCAAATGTGATAACCCTGATCTTCCAAATCACAACTTACAGAGACATCCAGATAAGGTAGTCTGATTGGCCGTAGCCAGGAAGTGTTTTCAAGACAGGATTTGGAGGCTATTCTTGACTACCATGAATAATAGTTTGTATGATTTTGACTTCATAGCAAGCCATGGTTAGCCAAACTAAGAAAGAGAAGGAACTCTGATTAAAAGAGATGGAGAGGGAATAGCTGATAGTTGAGACTTATTCTTCCTAGCTGATCACACTTAATGATGGAGTGTATTATCATATATACTTGACTATACGTCAAAAAATTTATGCTCCGAAATTGACCCTAAAATCATGTATCGACTTATATACAGGTCAATAGACCAGTAATGCTTAGAAAAGTCCTAAAACAAGCAAGCCTGATGCCCCAATCTCCATTTAACACCAAATCCTTCCTTCTCCAGTCCATTTTGCAAGACCTTGCTTCCTATGCAAAAACTGCCTTCAAATCCATTTGCTTCCCTTCTCAATGCGATGTTGAAACCTCTCCTCTAGCACCTGGGTATCAATGTTTGCCTGGTTGGGAGACGTCTGGAGAAGGAGAAGCAGGGCAGAAGTGATATTTCCCACTCTCCATCCTTAGCCTCCTATGTTTTACCCTCAACTTATCCATGGTCATATCAAAATCCAGGATTTTGACCCTGAAACCTTTCCTCGACTTATACATCAGGTTGACTTGTACACGAGAATATACAATAGATTGCTACTGCAAAGATGTTTTAAATCTTAACTGCAAAACTATTGGCAGCAGCAAACATTGCTTTACAATACTGAGAGAAAGTTCATGGGGCAGTGGAACAAAGTGGACATGAAAATGTTAATTGCTTATCTTAAAATGAATTAGCTTATGTGCAGTTGGTGACAAAATGGAATTTGTTTTGTGAAAGGATGAAATACCTTGCTGGTTCTCTCAAAGTCGGAATGTTTCCACTTCCCTTTAGTTTTTGGTTACTGTCAAAAGAAATGGAATAATATTTTAAAACTAGTGCATTTCCTTCT